CGCGAGGATCCGGACGCTGGGAGCAAATGATTGGATGGAGTACAATGATTGTTCTATCATTGGTGTCAAGTACCGATATTCGATGAGATATGAGTCGAAATGACGGCAGTAAGTATTTCATCAAATTATTCGGTGGCTGGAGGTTGATGTATTGCACATCAAGGGCGAGGTATAGACGTCGATAAGAGTGAATATTTTGCCGTCAGTGACGATTATGACTGATCTAAGAGTCTTAGTACGTCAAGATTGAGTAGGGAGAGCTAATGTGTAAGATGGAAGTGATTAACTGCATTACATTATATATTAGTCAAGGTTTTATGGTTAGTTCGTGTCATTGGCGATCTTGGAATGTACTGAATAATTGCTAATTGAAACTTGGATATCTTCTTTGCTTTTCACTCATTCCTGCGTTTCGTGGATGACGATTGCTTAGACTAGCCAGGGATAGCAAGAAAATATTATAGATACGTGTCATAACTCTGTGAAGTACAACAATCTCAGTGCTCACTATCACAAAGAAGTCTAGAGTGTTAAGGTTTGAGTCTAGTTGCATTAGAGAAGAAAAGGTAGTCTGAATATGCGCGATGCTTGAATTTTTGGCCTTGGTCTCTCCGATGAGATACGGTGTGTAAGTAATCAAACATACCTACTATCCCCTAGACCGTCATCTTAGGACACCTCGAATTTACTACTACTACTACTACTACTACTACTACTATAATATAAAAGTTTATATAAAGAATTAAATTCAAATAAAGACTTGAAATTGATTCTTTTATATTAATTAAAATATATTCTCAAATATATCATTTTGATAAGAATATACAAGATTAAACTTAACTTTAAAACTATCTTTTTTTTATAATTTATAAGATTAAATAAGTGATTAAATTTTCTTTTAAAAGATTAAAATTTAAGAAATTCAAGTTCAAAATAGAAAGAGGGGTTTTCAAATGATTTTCTATTTCTATTTCTTTAAAAAAAAATTATAAATTAATAAATTCTTTTGTTCTTATTTATATATCTGTTTAAATAATCTTATTCATTTTAAGAAAGCCTAAACATCTAAATCCCAATAATTTATTTAAAATCTTCAATTTTATTTCTTATTTTATTCTTCACTTTATTCTTTATTTTATTCTCTTATTTTTAATACTTTATATAATTAGAAATATATAGGCGTATTATATAGTTAGTATAGCTTAACCATACATAATTATTTAATTAATATAGAACCTGATTTTACTAATATAGGAATATTATATTCAGATATTCTTTTTATTTTAAATGTAAGAATTTATTTCAAATCTATAAAATATGTGAATTTCGATCGAAAGCTTTTTTTTAAAGTTAATCCTCGAGATTATAATATATGTATTCTATTTTATCTTTACTTTTTTATAAATTAATAGAATCGACTATAAAATGAACGAATTTATATGTATGAATATTGAAAGATAAAGAATGTTCAAATTTATAAGTATTTTTATAGTATTCTATAATAATAGATAAGGTTTATTTATATTTAAGTATATATATTAATTTGTATCGAATTTAAATTTGAGATTTATTAAGAATATAATAAGAATATAAATATATCTCTTTTTATGTGTTTTATATTAAGGAATAGATTTGAAAAGCTTTATATAAGATATTATATTGAATCTTCTAGAATAAATAATCTCATAAAAAAGTAAGATATTAATTTATTAATTTATATTCTATATATTAATATATTTATTCATAAACAGATTTATTATTAAATTATGTTTAAAATATTAATTTTTTAATATAAGTATTTCAGAGTCAAATATTAACTAATGAATGTATAGTATAGTATTTTAGTCGATTATACTTTATTATTATTATTAAAAATAAACCTATATCTATAGGATTTAAGGTATAAGTAGTAGTAAATTGAGGCTTTTTTATAATATGAAATTAATATAAAATTAATAAAAAGAATGATTCTATAAGTATAATTGTTGAGATCACTTGGGGGGGGGGAGTCGTCAACTCGAATCACCATATACAGTACTATATAGCCTATACAAAATGAATAATATAAATTGAAATGATCTAGAATAAGGTATGATTCTTCTTATTATATATATAGTGGGAAGAATCATGTGATTCGCTTAAGTATGTGATTATATGTTCCGATACAAGCAGAATTTCCATTTATAATGAAAATTTGGAACATATAAGATAAAGAGTGAATTGTATTAGCTAAGTCCCTTAAATCCTAAAATCAATCTGAACTAAAGACCACTCCTCCTCCTTATCTCCTCCATTCTACAATTAAGTTAAGAAGGGGAAGGAAAAGGATGAATCGAATTGAAAGTTGCGTATAAGTGGGGACGAGCCTTATTCGCTAGGGTGGGGCGATTATAGGGGGGGGATGTTGAATCGATTCGATCGAGTGGGGTATTTGTATTCAATTGAATTAAATTTGAAAGAATTGAGAATAAAAGGAAAGTCTAATCATTATATAAGAATGAATAGAAATAGGCTATTCTTTTACTCCTTTATAAAACTTGAAATATAAGAGATTGAATCTTCTTAATAAAGGAATAACAACTTGAAGCTTATAAGGCTTCAATTTAATATATCTTTTAAGAGTATGAATAAAGGTCGAATTCATATAGATTTTTTTTGAAGCTATTTTGTCAAATAACTGTTTATATTATAATAGGCTCTTCAACTTTATAATCTTTTTCCTTTACTCTTTTAATTCGAGTAGATTAGGTTTATTAAAAATAGTAGGCAGGCCTTTTTCTAACTTAATAGTTATATAAAGGAGGGCGTTTCGTACTATAAAATGGAGGAAGAGAAGGGCCTAATGAAAGGTTTCTAATAAGAACAATGGAGTGGTTCTTTTTGTACAAAGGAAAGGGGTTTTGAATTCGAAAAGCATACTAAACTCTGAGCAGAACATAATGAATGCGAATTAAACTATTGATGTATTGAATTCTATAAATGTAATAATCTAGTTTATAAATCAATTAATTTGTTCAATCCTAAAGAAATTAATTATAATTAAAGATCCCTTTTTAATATATTAATCGACAAAGATAATATAAAGAATATAGTGTTCTAATTCTTTATATAGATTATATATAAATATAATCTAATAGAATCTTATTTGTTTTTTCAAAAAATATCTTATCAAATGATTTAAACTATTCTTTTCATTTTTTATATAAATATCTTTATACAAAACCTCAAAAAGTAATCTAATTTATAAATATCTTTAAAGAAGATAAACACTAATTAGTATTGAAATCATTTAAAGAAAAGGAATTGTTAACTCGAATTACTATATATAATACTATATAGCCTATACAAAATGAATAATATAAATTAAGATGATCTAGAATAAGGTATGATTCTTCTCATTATATATATAGTGGGAAGAATCATATGATTCGCTCAAGTACGTGATTATACGTTCCGATAATAATTATACCCTCTCTTTTATAATTAATAATAATAATAAAATGTATAAATCCTACTCATATAATAGTTTCATATTTAATATAAAGATTATCTAAAGCTTTATATTATCTTTATTTTAATAATCTATTTATTTTCTATAACTTTTTAAATTATATATATTATTTATAGTATATTATAATAGGAACGTATAGGTCTAGTTTTAGTATTTATAAATATCTAATTAATTTAAAGGTTCAAGATATTGAAGATGATAAGATGCTATAATGAATAATTCATTTTATAACATCTTCCTTAAATAATGTATATTTTATAGTATAGAAGAATAATATAATGATTTTGATGTAATTTATAATATATATATAAAAAACTTTTATTAAGAGAATATATAAAAGACCGAAAACTACCTCTTCGAAAGTTAAAATAATTTAAATATCATTTGAAAATAAATACGAAAAAGAATTGTCTATTTTAGTTCTTTTTAATAAATATAATTATAATATGAATATTATTAATATAAAGAATCAATTATATACATTTATACTAAAACATTAACAATAATAATATAGTAATTATTAAATTTTAGAATAATAACTTTTAATTGTTATTTTAATTAATTGCTATTTAATTTATAAAGAAATTATATTAAAACATTTTATAATTAAATCTTTTAAATATAATGATTTTCGAAAATTTCTTACTAATAAATTAATCATTAAATTTAAATCTAAATATTATTTTAAAAGTACAAAACAATCTTTATAGATTTTAATTAAAAGTTTTAATCTTTATATAAATCATTAATTAATATATATTAGAAATAAGAGGGATTATTATACATATAAGTAATAATTTATAAGTTTAAAAAGAATAACTTTAAAGGAAAAATTAGATAATTTTCGATAAAAAGGAACTAGATATATAATTAGATTTAGATATAAAGAATATAATATTCTTTTATATAATAATAAGAAGTGTTTTATTAATTATTATAGAATAAGCCTTTAAATTGATAAGAATACTTATAATCCTGATGATTTGATTGGTCAGTATGATCCCTGTATAAGTGAGGTGTCCTCTATTGACGGTCTAGGGGATATATTTCTCAGGTGTATGTAATGATTGGAGATGACGCTTGATTCGAGGTAAAGTAAGAGATCTGTGCGCTTTTCGTTTATACAGCCCTAAATGAAGCTTAATCGCTAATGACGGCGTTGACCCCTTTGTTTGCCCAGTCACTTCACAAAAGGAGAAGCCTTTGATATGATTCATGGTAAAATACTTACTACCATGAAATAAAGACAGTGTTAGATACATTTTTTTACCGATTGTATGAGTGATTGTTCAATTATGAATGTCAGCTGAGGATTTGTGAATGAGGATTTCCGGCTTCTTTAGCTGATGATGTCTATCTCGAAGCGACTCTCTTATATAAATACTGTACAAGATCTTGATTATAATACAAGACAAACAAACATTTTGAAGACTCCAAGCTACTATAAAATCACCTGGAGGCTACCATACCAGTAAGATCTTGATCTAACATGGATAACCAACACTATTTAGCCCCTCCTGCATATACCCCTACCCCTCCAACTTCAAACCCTCAGAACTGCCAAGCTTTCAATGCTACCCGCTGGCTCCTCGACACACAACGACAATATATTCAATTCACCCACTACCAACATCTCCTCTGCCAGATATTCCACGCCTCCGATCACTGGTGGGACGAATTTCTCGCAGTTTGCGATGCATTTTTACGACCCAGATTCTCCCACTCAGACACATCTGTATGGAATTTCTACGGCACTTTACAAATCCACGGAATGCGATCGGAGTATTTGACAGGAGGTCGGTGTTTCAAAAACGAGACTGGAGAAATTTGTAACTGGTTAGCTTTTTGTCTCAGAGAGTTGAGAAATATGGGCGTTGAATGGAATCCTAATGCTACAAGATCTTCATTGGAGACAAGAAGAGAGGAAGATCGAAGTGGTGAACGACCCGAAAGCTCGAGTGAGAGAGAAGAGAGAAGAGAGCGAGAACAAGGGGATCCTTGTCCGTTGGTAGAATGGTGGTGGGAAGGAGATGAGATAGTATTTATCTTGAGTTAGGACAAAGTCTTACTAGTGATGATGATATATTAGTTTCATTTGGATTTTTGTTGTCATATTGCTAGCACTTCAGCTTTAGAGAGTAGTCCAGGGTCTCAGGTAGTGAGTGAATCTGTAGATATCAGATACTAGTATAACAAACGTTGATATTCAGGAAAAATTGTTTGTATTGGTGAGGTATTTGAGTCCCCCTTCAAAAATGCTGCAGTCTGCTCTTATGATATAGGATTTATTATGCATGTACACAGGTTCTAAACATTTATTTAGAGATTGAATTTCCCGAAGCCCTTTTCAATACAACGATCGTGTGATCTCATGGCCCTTTTCCTTGTCTCAAAGGGGCTGACAACCGAGTGTACATTGATCAAACTTGCATTCAGACCATTTTGTCAGAATACGTAGATGACCTCCTAGTTAGTGAGAACACACCCCCATGAGCTTACGAATCTGGCCCTATCAACAAGATTGAAGGAACTTAATTGTCCCAGCAACATGGCTTCTGTTAGTATTACGGTGAAATGATTCAGTATATGAGGTTTGGTCGCTGAATATTGATTGTCAGTGCAGCATAAAATCCTAGCTCAATCAGTCTTTTCACAACTGCTTATAACATCGTTGTTATTCAACACGCGATTATTATTTGCCTAGTCACATTGACTCACGCCACTGAGGGAGTAAAAGGCTTCGAGATCGCTTCGATCACCTATACTGTCCGCTCTTCTTCTAGAGTTGCCACTTCTAGTGTTGTTATTAGCTACGCTTCAATCAAGAGATGTTTAGACTTTATGTGAGTTCAAACTACAGCAGTGTTAAGCATCCATTTTCGACGAAGTCAAAAAGATTATTTTGTTGGTTACCTGTCGCGCACATCGATAAAGAGATCCCTAAATATTAATCATTACACACAAATACCCATTCTGACTATTGATATTTACAAACCACAAGAACCCTCGGTCACTGATTGTAGAGTTCAAGAATACAAGAAAGAATACAAGAAAGAACGACTCGTGAATTCGTGAATATAGTACAAGCCTCGTACTTTATATACATAACAATGGCATGATTCCTCATCTCCTGCCCCGACTTTTTCCTATCCCCAATACCCCATTCATCATTTTCCCAAGCTTTTACATACATCTCCACGTTGCGACTTCTTACAGGCATATGATATCAACACAAAAACAAAAAAACCATCCACTACCTATCACTAAACGCCAATTCCTAATTCATGGTTCGCTTGGAAATACTGGATCCTCCTTCCCTAATCATCTTCCTTGGCCCAATTAACAAGTCATTCCATCAGTCCAAACAATTTACGTTCCCGTTCCAAAAAAGTACTCATCAAGTAGATTGATCCCCGCCGGACCACCACCCGCTCCAACACCACCCACCGTCGTAACATCGCCCAAGTTCTCTCCAAATCCCATATCAAAGCCACTTAAATCCCAGTCATCTCCCCCCGATCCTTCTGCACCACCAAAGCCTGCACCCGCATAATTCAAGAAGCTTAATCCCGGTGCGCTTTGAAAATCAAAATTATAAGCGTTACTGTTACCACCATCTCCATTGGTAGTATTATATTGATACATGTCCGGATTTTGGCTCTGGCCTGGAGTTGATTTATATCCTTGCATTGGACTCTGCTGGTTGGGGAAAACATTTGGATCGAGATTCATGTTGTTATCTAGATTACTAAATGGAGGCGAGATGGCAAAGTTTGGCGAGTTGATTTGTGAAGAATTAGAATCATTTCTGTATGTTTCAAATTCCGTCTTCACTGCGTTATTCGAGCTCGTGCCATTTCTCGAACTTGGCCTTTCGCCAGCAAAATCATTTCTGGGTTGATTATTGACAGAGGTCTCCCTAGAATGTCCTTTCGTGCCGATTGGAGGGGGCTGAGGTGTGAAAAGATCATTGAGACCCATGTCGAACTGAGGCTTCGGGCGATTAGACTGTGGCGGTTTTCGAAGCCGAGAACTATTGGCATTGAAGTAATCATCTGGTTGCGATTGTAGGGGATGTTGTCCACCAGTATGATGGGGTCGTCTCGAATGAAGTCCCTGCTGAGCCCCGGAACCAAAACCAGTAGTAGACATGCACATCTGAACCGTAGCTTTGGACATGCGATCAAATGCATCTCGACATGCTTCGGCCGGAGGACATTTATCTATTAGGTCCCCAAGGACAGACGTTGCGGCCAAGATCGTAAAGTCAACTTCATCCATTGTCTGAAATCACGATTAGTAAACATCTAAATGAATAAGATAAATATACGCAAACTCACCAAGCGACTTCTGACAACCTGAGAGTGCCAAATAGCATACAAGAATGAGATTCCAGCCATGAACAGATGATGTGTAGCCAGAAAAGTATAGTTGACAAGTCGCACTCGATGCAACTGTCTATATAATCTCAGAACTCTCTGACCCGCCTCTGCAACTTTCAGAAAGACTCTTTCCTCATCTTCCCTTAGCTCCACATTATGTATACTGGGACTTTCAACCTCTTCACTGGTGCTAAATTCGCCTTCAAACATTGGTGGCACACTCAAGCTTTGTCTATACAACATGATTACACATTGCCAATAATTGAGCTCCAAAAAGTCTACCGAGAACTCTACACCCATATCCCGTTTGGTAGGCGCCGATGTTTTCCATTCCCAGAGACGTTTGTCGATGTCAATACGCCAAGAACGGAAACTATCAAATTTCACCAGGAAAGGAGATGGTAGTTGTGTGTGCATGAAAGGATTGCGTAAATTCGCACCACCCGCTCGTGCATGCAGTGCTTGTTGATGCTGCAATACCTGTAGAATTTCAGACTGTAGCAGTCTCAGGCGAAAGTAATGATATGCTACATGCTTGTAACTTGATCCACCGACCCCTGGGTCCTGCAGACCAGCAGGTGTAATATATTTGTCGTCGAGCAATGAAGGGAATTCTGTTGTCACCACTTGATCGGTAATGCCAAATGGTCTTCCAACGCACGTGGAAACAAGTCGATCAAATGAGTATGTGCACCACCACAATCTTCTCCTATAGTCTCGGATATATTCACGACGGCCTCGTTCTCGCATCGTACGCTCCCGATGTAATCTTGTAGTCTCCGCATCTTCGTTTTTTACTCCAGGTACTTCCAATTTTGGAACTTCAATATCCTTTCCATCTTCATAATGCAGACCCAGATCAACTGCTAAGCGAACCGCTACTCCAATAATGTACCACAAACCAGGAGCCACAGGTCTCAATAACGCGAACCCAGCCAGGAGTAGAACAGCTTGGAGTTCCTCCAAACCGCCACCAAAGCCATCAATTCTATCTACCGAAGAACTGAGGCATGCTTCGAGATGAACGATTGCTGAGGCGTGATATTCCTCAGGCTGACTTTGTTTCCCACTGGTTGTGCGCTTTGATTTGTCACCATTAACTGTCTTTTCCGCCTCTTCTCGAGCACCCGAATCACCAAGGAAGATTCCAGCGCCAATAGCAAACACAATGTTGAGCATATAGAGTTCTCGGGGCGTCCTAATCTTGGTATCTCCAGTCGCATATGCCTCTTCAAACATTTTCATGAATTCTCCTCGATGTAATATAGGTATTTGAGGATTTGCATGCTCAAAATAGAAGTCCACCAATCTCTTTCCAACATCCTTATCAGGAAACGGGGCTTGTTTGATCGTAGGTTTTGTGTGTAAGCCAAAGAATGAATCACGCATCGAAGTTCCCCCTTGTGCAGCAGCTTTCGAATTTCCTGCTGGTCGTGAAGGCCTCACACCATTATGATCACTGGCAGCACCCGAAACTGAAGATCTCACTGCTGCAAATACCACTCTTGCAAACGATATGCCGGATGTTGAACCCAAGTATCTCTTGTCTGAAGCTCCTTGGACGGAAACACTCTCAATATTGGACATCAGCTTGTTCACTTTCTCAGATTCGTCCTGCCTCTTATTCCATGTCACCTCATTCTGCGCTTTCTTTCGCACAAGTGCCGTATCCCCGTTGAGTGCCGGTCTGCCGTCATCACTTCCAGGAGTTTGTACTGCCGCAGGATCTGTCCCTGGTTTCGGTGAGTGCTCCAGAACATCGGCTGGCGCAAATGGGATATTGTTTTGTAGGAGCAAAGATTCAAGGTGTGCTGTTCTCGTCTCGAGATAGTACACATAACTGTTATAGTCAGGTATTAGCATTCAATATCCCATCGCCAATTCTCAACGGAAGAAAAAGTAAGAAGATTCACCTCCTAGGAATTTCCCTCTTGGTGATCGGATCGTAGCCCACACATTTATGCCCCGCCTTCTCGCAACTTGCGCAACTGGGTAAATTCTGATCGCATTTATTCTTCCTCAACCGACATCTGTTACACGCGCTGACATTGCGAAAACTGCTACTCTGTCCCGCCTTCCCACCTCCATTTGCCTCAGCCTTCACTAGTATCGGTCCCGCAGGTACAATTTCCTCTGCTGCAATATTCGGACTATCATTCTTGACTAGCGCAGCAGATGTACTAGGAAGCTCTGGAGGACTATGCCTCGCTCGTTTGTTCGGGTAACTACTTGCGCTCGTAGGCGGCGAGTGGGGGTTCATCGTTCTATCGTCTTCTCAATTTCGCCGGATACGCATTCGTTTGTGTCTTCCTCGCAATGAAATGATATCGAGGATGTATTCTGACGTCAAAATTCGGAATCGCGCATGCAATTGAGTGTATTGGCCCTTAAATCCGTCTATTCTCTCTCATCCTGCTCTTCCTCAACCTCCGACTTTGCGACTGTGTAATGTTAAATTCCCACTCTCCAATACGACAGCTCCGTAATCTTTCCGGCCTCTCGGCGAAAATGTCAGATGTTTTCGTTATCGCGGTTTCAGAAGAACGTTCCTTTCCAGTGTTCGAGAGATATTCTTGTATCAATGTAACATTATTGAACGAGAGCTACCTCTTCCTCTAGAATATGCGTGGGGTTTACCTTTACCCGTGATTCAAATTATACACACCTAGAGTTG